GGGAAGGGATGGAGGAGAGAATGGAGGATAGGGTGAATATGATAATGGGGGAGCTAGAGAGTATGAGAGGAAGAGAGGAGGAATGGAGAAAAGAGAAGGAGGAAATGGAGAGGAGAATTGAGGAGCTGGAGAGAAAGTGGGAAGGGAGTATGAGCATAAAGGGAAAGGGGAAGGGAATGGAGGAATTGGAGAAGAGGGTGAAGAAGCTGGAGGAAGGGGGGGTGAAGGGAGGGGAGGATAAGGGGGTGGAGGAGAGGGTAAGGAAGATGGAATGGTCGTGGGAAAGAATGGAAAGGCAGGAAAGGAAAAGAAATGTAGTGGTGAAAGGGTATAAAGGGGAGGGGAAGGAGGTGAGGAATGTGATAGGGGAGATATTCAGGAGCATAGGAGCGGAGGTGAAGGTAGAGGAGGCGAGAACGATGAGAACGGGAAGAGAAGAGTGGGGGGAGATGGCAGTGGTGAAGCTAGAGACGGAGGAGGGGAAGAGGGAGGTGATGAGAAGGAAGAAAGGATTGAGGGGGGGAAAGGTTTGGATAGAAGAGGATTTGACTTGGAGAGAAAGGCGGGCTAGATGGAGATTTAGAGAGGCGGTCAGGGTGGAGGAAAAGAAGGGGGCGAGGATTTGGATGGGAGTGAATAGGGCGATGATAAACGGGGAGTGGTGGTTCCGGGATGAGAAGGAGGAGGGATTGAGGAAGGGGAAGGCATTCGGAAGAGGAGAAGAGGGTAATGAGGCATCGGGGGAAGGGGGAGGGGGGATTAGGTAGGGAGGGAGGGAAGGAGCAGGGGGAAGTAGGACAAGGAGAGGGGAAAGTCGGAGGGATGGGGACGAAGGGGGAAGGGAGAGTGGAGGAGTGAGGATGGAGGGGAGAGGTGAGGAGGCAAGGGATGGGGGAGAGGAGGGAGGGATGGTGAAAGTGGCTTTTTGGAATGTGGCGGGGATTAGGGGGAAAGAAAGGGAGTTCTGGAAGGAAATAGAGGAATGGGATATAGTGGTAATGTCGGAGACGTGGATGGAGAAAGGGGGGTGGGAGAGGGTGAGGGGAAGATTGTCGAGGGAGTTTAAATGGGAGATGCAATGGGCGAGTAGGAGGAACAGAAAAGGGAGGGCGATAGGGGGAATGATGATGGGAATAAGGAAGGGTATAGAAGTGGTTGAAGAGGAGGAAATGAGGGAGATGGAGGGAATGATGATGAGGGTGATAAGGGTAGGAGGTGAGAAATGGAGAATAGTGGGGGTGTACGTTAGCGGAAACATGAAGGAGATATGGGAGAGGGTTGGGGGATGGGAGGCGGATGGAAGGAAGGGGATAAGAACGATTGTTGGAGGAGATTTCAATGCGAGGACGGGGGAGTTAGGGGGTTGGATAGAATGGAGGGAAGTGAGGGGGAGGAGGGGGTAGGAAGTCGAGAGACATGAAGGTGAACAGGGAGGGGTGGTAGCTGCTGAGGAGATTGGAGGAAGAGGGGTGGTATATATTTAATGGGTGTGGGAAAGGGGATGAAGAGGGGGAGTGGACGTATGCAGGGGGAAGGGGGGTATCAGTGTTGGATTATGTGGTAGGGGACGGAGAAGTATGGGAGAGAGTGGAAAGGATAAGGGTGGAGGATAGGGTAGATTCAGATCACTTTCCGGTGGTGGTGTGGATTAAAGGGGGAGGGGGGATCAGTAGAAAGGTAGGAGGAGGGAGAGGGAGGAGGTGGAGGTGGACGGAGGAGGGCAGGAGAGAGTTCAGGGAGAGAATAGAGAGGGGAGCGAGAAGGGAAAGGGAGGATATAGGATGGGAGGAGATCAAAGGGGATATACAGGCAATAATGAGGGAGGGGCAGGGGGAGATTGGGGGGGTGGGAGGGGGAGGATGGTGGGACCGAGAGTGTAGGAGAGAGAAGAGGGAGGTAAGGAGGGAGTTAAGAAAGTGGAGGAAAACGGGAGGAGGAGGGGAGAGATATAGGGAGGTTAAAGGAGGATATAATAAGCTGTGCGAGAGGAAGAGAAAGGAAGAGGGAGAGAGGTGGGCGGAGGTGGCTAGGAATGCGAAGACGGAAGGTCAGGTGTGGGAGGTAGTGAATAGGGAGAGAAGGAGGAGAAGAGGGGTGAACGAGGGGATCAAAATGGAGGAATGGACGGAGTACTTTAAAGGCTTAATGGGGGGAGTGGAGGGAAGAGTGGTGAGAGGGACAAGGGGGAGGGAGGAGGAGGATGGGGAACCGGGGATTACAAGGGAGGAGATCGAGAGAGCGGTGGGGAGGTTGAAGGATGGGAAGGCGGTGGGGGAGGACGATATTCCTGGAGAGGTGTGGAAGTATGGTGGGGAGAGGGTAATAGATGGGTTGTGGGAGGTATGTGATAGGGTGTGGAGAGGGAAGGAATGGATAGAGGAATGGAATGAGGGGATAATAGTACCGATAAGAAAGAAGGGGGATGGGGAGAGGGTAGGGGACTATAGGGGGGTAACGATAACATCGTCGGCGTACAAGGTGTATGCGATGGTGTTGGGGGAAAGAATGGAGAAGGAGATAGAGGAAGGGGGGATGGTACCGCAGAATCAAACGGGGTTCAGGAAAGGAATGGGAACGATTGACAATATATATGTATTGAATCACTTGGTGGGTAAACAGATAAGCAGAGGGAAAGGAAAGTTGGTTGCGTTTTTTGTGGATCTGAGAGCAGCGTTTGATTCAGTGGACAGAGAGATATTATGGAGGGCGATGAGAAGGAGGGGAGTAAGGGAGGGGTTGGTGAGAAGATGTGAGGACTTGATGAGGGAAACGAGGAGTAGGGTGAGGGTGGGGGAGGAGAGGAGTGAGCAATTTTGGACGGGAAGAGGGGTGAAGCAGGGATGTCCACTGAGTCCAGGGTTATTTAACCTATTGATAGCGGACCTGGAGGAGGAGATGAGGAAAGGAGGGTGGGGAGGGGTGAGATTGAAGGAGGAGAGAGTATACACGCTAGCGTACGCGGACGATGTGGTGTTGTTGGCAGAAGAGGAGGATGATATGAGGGCGATGATGAGAAGGTTTGAGAGGTATGTGAGGGATAAGGGATTAGAGGTGAATGTGGGGAAGTCAAAAATAATGAGGTTCAAGAGGGGGGGAGGGAGGAAAAGGAGAGTGAGGTGGAGATGGGAAGGGGGTGAGGTGGAGGAAGTGAGTGAATTTAAATATTTGGGGTATATATTTCAGAATAATGGGGGGCAGGAAAAGCAAGTAAGGGACAGGGTTAAAAGGGGGATGGCGGTTATGGGGCAAGTATGGGGGATAGGGAAGAGGAAGTTTAGGGGGGACTGGGGGAAAAGGATATGGCTATTCGATGCATTGGTGTGGACAGTGGTGGCGTATGGGGTGGAGATTTGGGGATGGGAGGAGAGGGAAGCGGTGGAGAGAATGCAGGAGAGGTATTTAAGATGGATGTTAGGGGTCAGCAGAATGGTGCCAGGGTATATGATTAGGGAGGAGTTGCAAAGGGTAAAGCTGAGGATAAGGGCGGGAAGAAGAGCGTGGAGGATGGAAGAGAGGTTAGCGGGTGGTAAGGGAAGTGAGTTGGCAAGAAGGTGTTGGGAAGAGATAAGGGAGAGGGCCAGGAGAGGGGGGAGATTGTCGGGATGGGAAAGGGGGAGGCAAAGATTTTTTGGGGAAAGGGGGATGGGAGTAGAGGAGATGGAGGTGGGGAGGGAGGAGGGGAAGTTGGATTTTGGGGAACTAGAGATGAGGGATAGGGATGGGCAGAGGGAGGAGAGGTGGGAAAGTATTAGAGAGGCGAGATTTAATAATTGGTATGGGAGGGTAAAGGGGGAGGGGGTTCCGGGATATTTAAAGAAGGGATGGGCAGAGAAGAGGTGGAGCAGGATGGCAAGGTATAGACTGGGAGAGGGGGTAAGGGGGGGAATATATTGGGGAGGGGAGGAGGACAGGAGTTGTAGAGTGTGTGGGAGGGAGGAGAAGACATGGGAGCATGTGTGGGAGATGGGGGGCGAGAGGAAGCTGGCAGGAGATGGTGGAATCGGTGCTGGGGAGGAGGGAGAGGGGGAGGAGTGGTTGAGGAGGTTGGAGAGATTTAGAGAGGGGGAGGCTGAGGATG